ATTTCCTTAATGATTAGTGATGTTGAGTGTCTTTTCATGTGCTTATTGGTGATTTGTATATCTTTTTTGGAAAATGTTTATTCAAGTCCTTTACCCATTTTTTAATTGGGTTTTGTTTTTTGTTGAGTTGTGGAGTTTTTTAAAATACATATATATCTGGATATTAATCTGTTACCAGATTACCCATTTTATTTTTACTTTATGTTGCAGAGGGTTGTTAGTGGTGTGGGTGTAACCTGACCTAGTCTGTATGTTTCCTGCGTTTCCTCTACTACTAAAGATCCTTTAGTCAGGTATTCTGTTAGATGCTAAAGATAAAAGCTCTTGGTTTCAAGGAACTTAAAATCAAATGAAAAATTACAGTACTGTATGATAATTACTATAGTAGAGTAAAAGAAACAGTGGGAGAATCCTTTGAGTGACTAGACAAGTCAAGGGAAGTATAATGAGGTTATGTTGAGGAGGCTCTTGAATGATGGGCAGGAGTTTATCAGGATATTAAGATTAAGAGGGTCACTAAGGTTAAGCAAGAATCACTGGCATATATGACTTTGAGAAGCTGGGAGGGAGAGAGAGCCAGCCCGTCAATGAGAAAGAAGTTAAGAACATTGTAAGATGAGCTGATGTACTACAAAATGTCTTCCTGTGTGTATACATTTGTGATGATAAGCAATACACAATGGCCAAAACACCTGTTCTTTTAATTAAGAGGTTTCAGAAAGATATCCTTTGGTCCCTTTCCCTGTGTGCTTTAGGTAACCTGCACATACATAAAAACTGGAAACAATTGCAAGAACTCCACATAGAACTTAAGTTCAAGTTGACCTGTTGTGGTGTGGAAAACTTTTAAGTTCAAAATATTTGTATTAATTGGTTCAAACGGAATTTAACTTATTTTGATTGTGAGTCAGATAGGTGGTTCCTTTTTTCAGAAATGTCACCACATTATTTCTTCTGATAGCTTACATGAAAATAGGGAGAAGAACAGAGGGGCAGAGGAGAGTGTGAATTAGATAAGGTGGGTCAAAGAAAGTGATCGATCTTAAGCACCTTAGTATAAAGTCAGACGCCTACCAGTCTGAGAAAAAAGAAGGGTGCTTTCTGACCCTTCTTAGGGAGAGTTAGGAAGAGTTGAGAATGGTGATTTTAACAGTTTGACTACATCTGATTGAACAGGTAATGGGTGAGATAGACAGGAAAAAAGTACCTCTCAGCATGCTTCTTACCTGCAAATAAAATAATTGAAAACATCTTACTAAAAGTGCTAGAGAGGGAGATTCTGAAATGTTCTAGAGGTTAAGACGGTAATAAGTGGTAGAGGTAGCACTAAAGGCTATGTCATATGTCCCATTTAAGATAAAAGTTTGCTCTAAATAGTATTGTTTCAGGGTATGGTTTTGAAAACTTTATTGGCAGAGTGTAAGATGAGTAGTGTTTCAAGATGAAAGAAAATATTGTATGAATTGGACCACAGTTTAGGATGCTCTTTATAGACTCTAAAATTGAGTTTGTTTTTCAGTATTTTTTGAAACCAGAATCTATTCTAGGCAAAAATTCATATTCTTTCCTATGAGAGCAAAGAGGGTATTTTAAGTTGGTTGACATAATTTGCTTTCTCTGCATTATTTGAAAAGGAAAAATATCTAGTATATTTGATGATATCTAAAAATAAGTGAGGGGGAAATTAAATTAGAAAATTGCAGGAATGTGTATATGTGCATACCCTTTTTTATCAAGATTTGAGGTTAACATTTAGTGATCTTTGTCGTCATATATTCTTAACTTCAACTAACAAATTTTACTGCAGATAGCCCCTTGTATTTATGGTGATTTAAATCCTTTAGGTACCCCTGCTACCTATCACATTACTGCAGGTTATAGTTTCTTTCATTGTTCTGCGAGAACAGAACTAGGGTGCCCTTTTCTCCAGCCTTTAATAGCAATTTTTTCATTGCCCTCCAGCCTCCACTAACGGGAGGTCCCTTAGGGCCACTGCCTGCTGCCTCATTTTAAAAATGCCAGATGTTTTAGGTTTTTGTGAAAGCAGCACTCCACTTCCAGGTACCAGTTTCTGTTGTGCTTTTTTATTGCTGTGTGACAGACCACTACAAAGCTTAGTGGCTTACAAAAACCAAGTCATTTATTCTGAGATTTCCCTTGGGATTGGTGGCTTTCCCTTCTTCCCTTCTGCTCCTCACCACCACCCACCAAGCCTGACTTGCCACAGAAGTTTCTGTTACATGAGGGTGAGAAATAGCTGATTCCAAAACTGGGGCACGGAAGTTGTAATGTAAGACTGGAACATCTTATTGTGCCAGAATATAAGGAAATGCTAAAAAAGAAAATGAAGATGGCGTGTCAAACATATACAGGAGCTAGCCTGAAATAGGAAGGGTAATATCATAAATTTAAAACATTTTATACTTATGAATGGAAAAAAGTTTGTCATTGTTTTATGTACCTGAAATACTTTTTTTAATAGTTGTAACCTATCTCAGCTTTTTTAAAATTATAAAATATCTATAGTTTGATACATATGCTAGTTTTCCCCTCAGACGTATTTTATTTATTTAATCAATCCTCACCCAAGGATATTTTTTCCATTGCTTTTCAGAGAGAGTGGGTAGTAGGGGGAGATTGATGTGAGAGAGACACATCGATTGGTTGCCTCCCTCGCGCACCTTGACTGGGGCTGGGGATCGAGCCTGCAACCGAGGTATGTGCCCTTAGGTGAAATCAAACCTGGGACCCTTCAGTCCTCAGGCTGACACTCTACTGAGCCAATTCTGCTAGGGCTAACTTTTAAAATTATACAAATAAAATTTAAATAATAATTGCACTTTGTATTAAAGAAATTATTTACAAAGTGATTTGGTAGGACATTTTTAGTTTCAAATACTTGATGGTCTCTTTACTTGGGCTTTAACTTTTTCCTAATGATGGCATTTTAGCAAGATGGTAGACTTTCCCAACTTCAGTTAGCAACTGTCACTTCAGAGTAAAGCAGCTCTGGGGCTCACAGGCTAGTAGGACCTGTTGGGGGGTATGTGAGTCTGTGGTCCAGATGAAAACAAGAGGCAAAATTCTATGGGGCAATTATCAAAACTTGAGTCATCAGGAAGAGCTGTGCCTGGGGGAATGGAGTGAGATGTGGGGGAGGGGCAGGGTGTTCCATAGCATTGTAGAGGTTGCTTCTATGCTTCCATTGTTTTGGTGTTAATTCTAGCATCTTGACTTGAGCTCCAAGTGTGAGGCAAGGTATGAATTGGCAACGGAACTCCAGCAGCCAGAGAGGATTAACAAAGATACCTAGAACAAGTGACTTCAGTGAAATAGAGCTATTAGAAGAGATAGATGACAAGTTTAACAAGCAAAACAAAACAAATTATCCTGAGATTCTCAAGAGAGACAAAGTGACATCCTTCTAATCGTAGCCTAAAAGAATTAAAAAGTGAGGGGAAAAACTCTTCTATATATTAATTTGTGGAGAGGGTCATTATTGTTGAGAGTTAAATTCATGGTCTGGGATGTTAAGTAGAAAAGTATGTCAGAACAGAAAAAAACATAAAGGAGAAAGCACTTTGAGGCAATGCAACAACTAAAGATATAATAGAGGAGAATTTCTCTGGTTTAAAGAAGAATTGAAAGAGCCTACTGAGTTCCAGACTAGAGGGTTGGGGGTGGTTCAGAGACAAAAAACAAGCTGCTTACAAAAGAAAAATGATCAGGTATGTGGTGGACTACTCAGTGCCACACTGGAAACTAGAAGGTAATACAATAACATCTACAGATTACTAACAAAAGAACTGTACCTATTCGTAGCCAAAATACCATTCACTTGTTATGGTGAAAGCAAGATATTTGCAGATATGCAGGAATTCGGGTCCTCTATTAGAGGGAAAGTTCTCAGTAAAGAATTCTTACTAAATAATTTCCAACGGAGATTTTAAGATGTCAGAAGAAGAGAGAAAGCAGTGGTGAGCAAATGAATCTCACAGTATATTTTATTAAATCTAAATGGGTAGTGATAGAATGTATTTCAGCGCATTCCTTTGTCCTCTGCATTTTTGAAAGTTTGCAGCTGATCCAGAAACTTGATTCGATTAGGTTCTTGTCCCTTTCACAAGACCAAAAGTGATATTCTGTTCTTCTAGTGGGAAACATATATATAATTTCTGATTGACTATTTGTAAAGATAATAGCCATTAATACTCAATTCTAGATCCAGTAATTCGAGGGTTGCAAAATGGTGATATTCTATCATTTTTCATTTGTAACTAAACACATGTATAGGTGCGTCCCTTTTCTCTTTGGTTACTCAGTTTATATAGAGAAGGCAAGGTAAATGTTTGATTTTCCCCTTTATCAGTTTACAAGATAATGAATTAATTCTCTATTGCCTTTTGGAGGTGGAAGGGAATGTGTCATTATCAGCTTGTATAATTCAGTAGTATGATAGCTGTCAATCTGTTACAATTGTTATCTTTATTGAAGTTCAAATTGTCTCATTTTTGGCCAGTGAAAGCAGAGCTGGTTCTTGAGTCCTTTGACATGACCCTGATTATCTTTGGTAAAAAAAGGAAGAGTATTCTTTGTTTGGCTTTGTTTTAATTTGCTTTTCTAAAAAATTCTCAGAATGGTGCCTGTTCTTTTGCAAAGTTGGATTTTAGGGATCCATCCATTTCCTTGGATAGTTGGTACCTAGTATGATCTTTGATATAATTTGTAGATATGCCTTAGAATTTGTGTTACTTGCAAAGAATAATGGTTTTATTTTTTAGTGTACGTGGAGACTCAAAAGGAATCAGTACTTCCCAGCAACAGGTGTAGAGGCATGAGTTAAAATGGTCTATTCAATTAATAAAAATTAGAATACTTATTCTGGATCAGTCCCCACATTAGGAACTCTTGGCAAGTCAAACATTCACAAAAACTGCCTATTTAACATTTCAATAAAATAAGTCCCAAGGATTGATTTTAAACTTTATTTTTTCTTTCAGATCTTTCACGAAATCGCCTCTCAGAAATTCCCATAGAAGCATGCCATTTTGTTTCTCTTGAGAATCTCAACTTATACCAAAATTGTATTCGGTATATACCAGAGGCAATTCTAAACCTGCAAGCTCTAACATTCTTGAATATTAGGTAAGATGTTTTTCTTTTTGGTTTTATGTAATCTTTTTGATTTTCTGTTCCCTTTCACTAAAATTTACATTATCTTTTCATATCAGCAGTTTTATACATGTTCTTAGGCTAAATTAACAGTATTTCCTATGTCCCTCTATTTTCTCCCTCTGTCTGTAATCATTGACAGCTCTAATAGCCATTAGCCTGATAGGCTTGCAGCAGTCTTGTAGCAGTGGTTCTCCGATTACGTTTTGAGATAGGCTTCATCAAATGAGAATAGTAGACCTTTAATTACTTCATTTGGTTCTTGCGATTATGTATTTTTTTGTATTGAGTTCTGAATGTATAAATGCATTTCAACTCCATTTTTTTACATCTTATAAGAATTCTTTTGTTATTTTATTTTAAGTGTTCATTGGAGAAAATGAGCAAATGAAATATCCTTTGGAAATAATTTTATATGTAATAATTTTATTGTGCAGTTTCCATACTTCTAAAACTCATTTTGCCTCTCAGAATATACTGTAATGAGGAGGAAAGTAGATTACAAACACTTTTATGTTTATAGCTCTTCTTTGAAAAGAAGAGGAAAGGATGATAATTTTTTACCCTATTTTTAAATTATTTTTTCTTATATACATTTAACTTCAATAAAATAGTATGTTGTTATTTGTATAACACTTTGTTATTTACAAAGGTGTTTTATGGTACAAGAGCTCTGTAAGATAGGTAGAGGAGAAGCTAAGATTCTCAATTTACAGATGAAGAATCTGTATAAGATACAGATAGGTTAAATGCTGTGCCTAAAAATTACAAAGCTGACAAGTGAGGAAATATAGGCTAGAACTCAAATCTAAAATTCTTTTTGTTTCTTGCAAGACTTATATTTGTTATTTTACTGAGTATAGAATGGAAAAGATGGAAATTTTTTTCTTGAGTAGTGAGCTCTGATTCTTCTCTTTTTCTGCTTACCCATTTTAGTCGGAACCAACTGTCAACACTGCCAGTACATTTGTGTAATTTACCATTGAAAGTCTTAATTGCTAGTAATAACAAATTGGTCTCACTTCCAGAAGAAATTGGACATCTCAGACATTTAACAGAACTTGTAAGTTAATATTTTATTTTTTGATTGTCCCACACACACATATATATATCCATAGTTATACCATACTCTTTTATATGAGTAAAGATCCATTATTGAGGTGTATTTTTAAGTTATTTTCAAGTATTGATAATGAAGTTTCACTGATTGATCAGTACTCAAGTGCTTCAGCACAGAATTAAGAAGGAACTGAAAGTACAAGTCTGAAAGGCTCACATGGAGTGGGGAAAGGTAATTAGAATTGGATTCTGATCAGTATTAAGTGATTTCTATGTTATTAAACTTTTGAGGTATAAGTTAATAATTCATTTGAACTTTTCTAATTAAGTCTTGTTAATAACTTTAATATTCTGATTTTTGGTTAACCCCTGTAGGGAAATGGAAACTACAGAGGTCAGGCTCCCCCCCCCC